TATTATTGGTTATGTTTATGATATTAATAATTAGATTATGATTTAACATTTAAAGTATTGATAATGATCGTTTTGCCAGCTAGTCTCCAACTGAAAACAGATCGAAAATTCTACATATTTATTTATATAAAAATCTTTCTTATTAAAATTAAAATTAAAATAAAAACAACTTATGTACTCGTCTCATACTGCATTTCTCATTTTCATTTGTCTATAAAAGAATTTGTTTTCTTTCTCAAGTTGATACTATAATATTTTAATGATAAATCAGTTTTGTGATCATGTTTCATATCATTATCAAATTAAATCCTGACTTCATGGCATATTTCATATAAAAATGTATCACAATAACGTTCACATGGACTGCGAAATTTATGTAGAAGCGCAATAACGATAGAACGTGTTGTTCTTTTGAATTATAAAATGACCAGCAGTTGCAATTATACGATTACATCATACTAAACTATCTTTGCATGATAGCAAAGAAGAAAAAAATATCTTCATTTAATATTAGTAAAAGTGTATTACATAAGTATTTTTGTTTTTCTTTAAGCTTAAATCGTGCTTGAATGAAATTATAGTTTTGCATCAAAATTCAAAGAGCTTTTTCTGTTACCTTTTTTTATTGAGAACCACTTGCCAATTTTTTGTTGATGAAGAATTTGAAGAATTAAAACCAGATGATCGAGTTCATTGGCATGATGTCTAAAATTCTGATTTCAATCTAATTGTATATGCCGTATCGAAGTCATACCGATTGACTAAGTTAAAACTTCCACGTTAACGTGGAAGTCGCAACTTAGTTGATCGGTATATCCGTGAAAAAAAATCCACTTCTTTAATTGAAATATCGATGAAACATGAGAACATGCATGTATTGAATGGCAGGTAATAATTTCAAAAGGGCTAACGACTAATGAATTTCAATATATATTCTAATGATGTATATCCACTTCAAGAAGACATACATGTAACAAGAGGCTCTTGCATTGCATCTTGATGGAAGTTTTACTTGTTTGGTTTGTATTAAATGAGAGAGAGAGATTTATAAAAACGAGCAACAATCAGAGGGAAGGTGCTCATACTTCAGCATATTTCTATCAACAACATTTCTATTAGTGCATTAGCATGACGTTTCAAAATAACCTCATTCGTTATTTGTGAGTGAATCTATGAGTAAGTGATGGATTTAAAAGACACTATAGGAATCATGCTCGTTTTAATTATAAGCCAGTGTACAAAATCTTATATGTTGGCCCATGGGCAACGCCTTATTGATTCATTAATATTAAATAAAACTTAAAATCAAAGTTCTCTCTACGACCATTCCTTTGCTTTTCAAATGACCATTTTCTGGGTACTTTTCTATTTGATGGCAATAATCTCTTCTACAAATACTTCATCGTGAATAAACAATAGTCAGAAAAGAACGTCGACGGAAAAGAACTCGACTGGTAACTGAGGGATGACAAAAAACGGTCGACCTGATTATTAAATTTCTGTTGCAAACGATGGGCTCGTTTTTCTTGCTTTTATCTTTCAAAAGGAAAAAAATAATTCAAAGCAGAACATTTTATGGCATCAACCTTATCTCAAATTATCAAAACTACAGTTTAAATCGAAATTGTGATAAATGATGAGTGTGCTTGTAGTCATTCTCTCTGCTCTACACATCACATCCACACACAGTCAATCAATACAACGATGACTTTTGAGAACAAATAAGCTATTTACTAACGTTTTTCACCTTCTCATAACACCAGAACAGAGACTTTTTTGTAAAAAAAAAAGCTTCAGGATAAAATTCATCGTTACTTTGCTCTTGTGAAGAGAAAGAATGGCAGCTTTGATTCGTGATTCATGCTTCAAAAAGAACGAAAAAAAAAACACCATGTCAGTCAGATGACTAAAAGACAAAGCATCGATTTACGTACACGTTTTGCAAATTGCCAATTGAAAAGCTTTGCCTACACATTGAAAAAACATAATGGCACTGAAGTGCATCGAATTCTATTCTCTTTCTACAATTAGTGTCCAATGCGATAATATTCTTTCCAAGTAGCTACCTTGCACATGAAATTCACAATCTATTAAATACACTGCATTTGATGAAAAGAACAAAAATCAGCGGTCTATACATATGTTACAATATTAGATTCTTATCAATTATTGATACACTTTTTGGCGGTGACAGCATTATTTACTAACACATTTGGAGTGTATTCCTCTTCGTCCTCAAATATTCCAAACCTATCCATGGACCAATCACATCAACTGTTCATAATCAATAAACTGAAACTGTGAAAAAAGACTAGATGAGGTGTCCCATTTGCTACATATGCATTAGGTAATTCATTAAATACTACAGAGCTTATTTTTTGTCTGCCTTTACGACAGCTCAAGGAGCATGTCGAAGCTTTCTTGTACAAGAACAATAAATCGTTAATCTAAAAATTAGTTTTCTCATGTAAACTCATGTTAAGTCAAATTAAAAAAGTATGGCAAACGAAAATAATAAAACGCCTTTTTCAAAAGAATGATCAAAGACACTTCAAAACAACACTTTCTATTTTAAGGTAATGAAATCAAAAATGTAACGTCTAGAATCGGAGAACGAACAGATCTTATAATCAAATTCACATTTTAGTATAGCTCAAAACTTAAGCAGACAAAAAAAGACACCAACGAAGATTTTTCTTTCAGGTAGTTTCTTGAGAAGACCTTTGAAAAGTCATATTGTCCATTCAGAAAGTTTCAACAGGTTTTCAATTCCAATTTCATGGTTGGATAACTAAGACTGAGCTATTCAAACCTATGCCGTCCTAAAATTTTATGGCTCCTTATTCGGAAGTCGAAAACTGTGCGACAGAATTTCGAAAATCATAGTTTCGATTTTAGAGTAGAACTTGAACTATACTATTAGCAACTTGGGATTGAAAATTCACTGATGTTTTCAGACTGGATGAATTAGTTTTTTAAAAATTTAATCAACAAAAATTAGTATGTGAAAAGCGCAGAAGAATTTTCATTGATCATCACCTATCTTGCTTTTGAAAAGACGATAGAAAAAGAAAATTATTTTAATAAGTTCTTATTTTGTTCTCAATTTGTCTATATTCATTACCATCCTATATAGTTTATAGTACCTCACGTTAGACATGATACAATCCTGGTCAAAGATTCTAATTATCATTAATCTATGCATTATCCTCATTTTATACTGTACTGTCGAACGAAGTTCCCGATATTTCATTAGCACTTCCTCATATCAGAACAATTCGCATGTTCGCAAATTCATGTTTCGACAAGAACTAATTCGTCGACATCTAGCAAGTCATTCTCGTTTTTATGATTACTCAGCCGGTGTTTGTAACGTCACAAATTACTTAACTGGCCAACAACCACATGTTTTGGTTAATATTTCTGAATTACTTTTAAAACTTCGTGAACAGATTGCACCATATCCGGAAGATTATTTCGAAGGACGAGGTATCGTGCTCACTGTTGGTTTTGCTCAAGCCTCATCTGAAAAAGTTAGCTTGAAAATGATCGAACTAAGTGGAACACAATTACCTGTACAGGTAAAATATGCATCTTGAAACAGTTAATTATTGTTCGTATTGATTAAAGAATTTTTTTATGAGATTGGAGCGATAACTTAAAGCTTCTTTTTTAAAATAATGGTCTCTTTTTCAAGGATATGGAAACTTTCATTAGGCGTGGTCATTTAGCTCGGCTTTGCTTTCGTAAAAAGTAAGAGGCTTCATCATAAAGACTTCTTCTATTCGCTATAATTTTGAATGGTGAAGTTTAATAAAATAATTTGAAGTTGAGCTTGACGTAATCAACAATATTTCCATTTCAAAGAACTGACACCTTTAAAACAATGATACTGATGCGATTTGCAAGTTATTTCTCTTTAACGATTTATCGTGAACACAATGCAGTATATTTGAAGCTAAAAAAACTGAAATCTATGTTCAATACAATTTCTCTAAATATCAGATTATAAATAGCATAATCTAAGAAAAATGATAAATTATCCTTTTCGAATTCGTATCTTCTGTAAAACCGAATACAGCGATTTTCTCGAACTATCGTTGAGAGAGAAACCAAATTTTGTTTTCTTTGTTTTTTTCGTTTCTAGATATGGTACTCATCGTCGCAGCGATCACATAACTACATGATACAATTACTTCGTGTAATTCCGAAACTGAATGCAAGTGTTTGTTGTTTTGAAACTGCTCAATGCCAAACAATGACACGTGTTTGGAATCTAAATTCTACTCATGTCTACAGACCTCTCACGTCAAATCTGCCGCACAGATCTTTTCCATATAAACCTGCTGCTATTATTAGTGCTACATTTGCCGAAGTGCTCTTTCTCGATTGCGATGCTTATCTTGTTCGAAATCCTGACTATTGGTTTCGATCAGATCCAATGTATCTTCATTTTGGCGCACTCTTCTTTCCTGATGCTGTTCTGAGTCGACAACATCCTGCTGTGTGGAACATTTTGAATAGTACATGCGCTCGAGATGAATTCGAACTTGACAGTGCCGTTATACTTGTAGACAAGACACGTGTATGGAAAGGACTCTATATGACTAAATTAATGAATGATCATCATGAACTCTTTTACGAAGTATAGTTACTTATTTGACTACAAAACAAAGGAGAAAAATAATCATTGTGTTATTATAGCATATCACCGACGGTGACAAGGATACATTTCGATTAGGTTTTCGCTACATGCATGTGACATATTATTTGGTCATGATTCCATGTTCGGTAAACTAAGAACATTTAATATGATGTCATCTATTAGTTTCTCACTCGTTGATAGACTGGTTCTTTTAATGGCACTCATTTTGCTGGCTATACACTATGTAAAACAGACAGTTTGGCACAACATATCTACGTTAAGTATGAAATTCTATAAAAAAAAAAGTTTTTTTTTATTTGACTTTTTCATTCTATTTTGTAGTCATTTCCATTTGTTTAAATATTTAAGAATTCCTCAAAATTCGGAGACTTTACGCTACACACGTATCGGTATTGGAGATCCAAATAATCATTCTTTTATTTTTCAACATTGTTCCGCATCTACAGGACCATATACATTTCATATTGAGAAAGAGACCAATCGAAATAGAAACTTGCATAGGTGCATCGATAGACAAATTTCATCCGACGAGATTGAAAATCACACTTACGCATTTGATGAACCACTTCTCTCTGATTGGTCTCGATATGATCGCGTGATGATTACAAAAACACACAATGTGATGCCACATTTTCTGAAGACTTACCTCGAAATTCAATAAGCATACATTTTTTTGCTAACATGAAAAAGCGATGGATAATATTGCCACATCAGTTGATTGGTTCTTTCTTCTTCTTTTTTTCTTACCATTTATTAATTTCTATTACTCATGTCAATACTATCCCTTTTATACGATTGTATAGAGAAGTAATAAGACAATTGTTTTATATGACATAGTTTTGCAAGTGATTCAAATTTGAATTGTTTATTTAATAGATGCTTATTTTTGCGAACATTTATCATCCATGAACTCTCTCTTTGAATATGAAAATATATCAAAAAAGTGAAATTAATGCAAATGAAATAACCGATGTGATAATCAACTTGTTTCATGATTCAGCATGCCATAATTCGGCTGGTGTTTGAATCGATTCCCGTAGTTTTAAATCATAAATAGATTGACGACAATAAGACAATAGTAATCGAAACTAAAGATTCGAACCAAAAGAAGCTATCAAAGCATGTAGTTCAATTTTAAATAAACCGAAGTTTTTATGTTAATTGTACAACATATCTTGAAAATATTTCTAACTCTGTACTCATAGATATAAGTATACACTCTCATAAGAAAGAAGATTACGATTGAAAAGTTTCATTTTTATTTGTATATTGAAGATCCCTATAAAATAAAAAAGACTCGGAAAAGAAAACACAATCAAATATTCTCTTCGAAAGTTGCATAATCAATGAAAGATTACCAAAAGGGACTCAGTCCCTTAACCCTTCTCTCTCCACTAGCTGTTTTGAAACTAGGGGTCGATATAGTTGTGACGATGAGTGTTAGCAGAAGAGTTTCCCACTCCCACACAAGAGATTGCACACAAAACCATAAGACGACATGGACACATCATGTGGAATATTAATTTCAGAAAGTCCATGTCTAAATGCAAGTACATGATCGTACAGGTGACCCATTTCTACACAATATTCATGTTGTGTCTCTGCTAAAAAATTTTCTCATATAGAAGGGTGCGGTTGTGGCTGCTAGGTATGTGTATGCGGTAAATAAAGAGAAGAGCTACAGTCTCACACTCTCAGGATCTTCTTTCAGTTTTCGTAAATAGATCTCTACTTTTAATTAAACAGACAAGTACATCAGAACGAAAACGTCAATTTTTGGATATGTACTACTGAAGTCATGGTATCAGTACTCCTCATAGCAGAAGTCTTCTTTGAAATTTCTGAACAGTTTTTGAAGCCCAGAGGTTTTCATTTATGATGGAGGCTTTACTTGAACTTTGAGTTGAGCATCGGAAGATTTGAGTAGACTATTGCGGTCGTATCCATTAGGCCTGCACGAACTTGTCTTCAATGTCGATAAATGGGAATCTCCATTCGTGTATGTAGGTGCCAGTAACACATCTTCACATTTACCGGGAGGTCGATACTTCATGTACTGCTTGCAAGAATTGAGGATTCTGGTCATGCCAGTACAACACGAAAAGTAAGAGAGAAAATCTGAGAAGAAATGCTGATACGTAGAAACATTTCTCCACGTCTCAGGATAGTAGAAATCGAGTGTACCAGCTCCTTCTCTCCAGTCAGCTATCCATCTACCATTGTTATCATAACAACACTGTGCACCTGCAGCGCTTGTTGTCGACTTGCGACGATAACATCCTTTTGCACCTTGATGAAATCGGCAATTCCAATATCCCGATATGCGTGCATCACATGCTGAGTCGACCTTGAAGCCAAATTGTGCTTCGTCCCACGTTATGTTCACTTGACATGGACAGAGAGGAACTTGATTGATTGTTTTTTCTGTACTCGAATCGGACTGAAGAGCAAGCCAGACTAGACCATAGAGTGTAAACAATAAATAGGGCATAATAAATACGCATACAAGGAATTTTACAACTGTTTTCCATGAGAACGATTTTGTTGTAGTCACGTGTGTGGACAGCAAACGAGGAATGGAAGCTGATTGTTGATCGGGAATAAGCAGCTCTTCTGTAGTCATCTGAGTATTTTTTTGCGAATAAAAATTTCTTTTCAACAATAAAACAAGACGCCATTGACGTTGTAGGTTACCAGGTAACACCATCCATGACTGTAAATTTATAATGATGCGACGTGAGCACTTGATAACATCAACATATCGAAGCCATAAAAACAGCTTATTTCTTAAGAATCTGAATAGTTTTGCTTCTAAATGAGACATATATATCGGCTTGAGCGCGTAACATGTAACTTCAGGATCGAGAGTTTGAAGTCATCATTTCTAAAACTCATTGTCGTTATCTTGTAGAGCATGGTCCAAAGTGTAGAGAAACGGATTTCGTTCCATCAATTACTGCGTTTAATCGTATGCGATAAATTGTGATAGAGATGTCACTAACAGATATAGAAAATTTCTCTATTTCGACCATTAATCAACCTAACCCATACATCGAAACAGCGTGATGTATACAAAGTTGATTAACACCAATTAAGACTACAATGACAGATGTATCTTTTGGCATAACAGTTGATTTCGTATGTGTCATACTTTTTGGCAGCGAGCTCAACTAAAATTACCCACTTTATAACGTCATCGCGTAACGAAAAATGAATATTATTTTTTTCTCATCTGCTAATCTCAACTTTTTTTTATAAAAGGTATATGCCTAAAGCTAGTTTTTTATGGGCTATCCAATGCGTGGATTTTTATCCGAAAAGGTCCTGTTTGAAAAAAATTTTTCGTAACGCGATGACAATTTTTACCATTTCTCCTATGTTTTCATATTTGTAAGAGAGCATTTTCAAAAAGTGCTTTATTATTCAAAATTCATTATAAACTAAGACTATAATCAATTTTTCATTAATAAGTAATAAATTGCAATAAGAATTTATCTAATTGGTGTAGTAAGTTGATTGTGTTCAATTAAAATAAACTACCAATAAAATCGTTTTCGTTTGTATACTACATAATATATCTGTGGAAAATTTTTTGTTTTATGTTCCTATTTTTCCTACTCTGAATAAGCCTAATAGTTATTTTTTTCTAATGGCGATTTATTTAAACAGTTGATAGCTTTTTTTATCGCATATTCAGTGTAAATATACATTGTTATATATATTCGTCACACTAGTTTATTTTTATTACGATTTTTTTGTATTAGAAAAATAATTAAATAGAATATTTGACATCTGTATACTTTAATCTTTGAGATAAAAATGACATTTTGTTTTTATAGCAAAATACATATAGCAAAACAAAGCAAAGAGAAATAACTATCAAAAAAGTCATCGTCATCGTGTTACGTTGATTAAACTGATCCCTCTTCAAAATAAGAAGCCTCTTTGAAGAACTTTTTTTTCCGTTGGATACCTCAAGGTGTCGGCTACAAAATGTCTATAGAAAGTTTCTCTTAATACACTACACATTCGCAGGAAAATAAAGAACAAACACGTCACCCCCAACATTTTGTCCTTTTTGCGTTATCGCGTTACGTCATCTATTTTTTCTCTAATTTCCACACGGCTCATCCAAACGACCTCATATTTTCAGAGATTTTGAGGAAGACAGAGACACATTTTACAACGAAAGAACAAACCTTCTGGGCAACCTTATTGCTGAGAAAAGTTAATAAAACTGTGACCAAGACGTCATCGCGTTACGCTCGCTCAAGCCGATATATATATGTCGAACAGGATGGATCTCAATGGCAAAATCATGGCTATTTCATTGCACTGTATGTATGTTTTATCTGAAAATTAGAAAGAAACATTTGCTACAGCTAGTTGTAATAATTCTTTGAACTGTGAACTATTTAATAAAACATGAGATGATGTTGGCTTTTTATAGATAATGTCTAGCGTTATATTAATAGCATCCTGAACAGACATATTCGTATACAGGCGATCACCATGAAAATTTAGCATCGTCTGTTGATGCGACTCGTTGATTGCAATTAGCATGTTTACCAACTCGAAGGAGTCTCTTACGTAGAAAAATGAATAAGATCTAGGATTATCTTTTATGAGCATTGCTAGATATTTCGATAGCTCATGATTGTATGTACTTACCGAGAATATGATACGTCGCAATGGATAGTTAAGTTTATGTACTTTTGGCTGTCGGTACACGGTAGCTAAAGAAGAACATGCGGATTGAATTCTCTACTAAGTATTTTTATCAATAACACCTTCTTAGAATAACCTCAGAATATAGTTATTCATCATTTGTTTCTTTTTCGACAAGGGTGTGAGTGTTGTTGTCGTGGATCTCAATGGACCCACTTCACTCTGTTTCGCTAGTACCACATTAAAATGTATTGTGGGTGTGGGTGTGAGTGTGTGGGTGGGGGTGTAGGTATGGGTGAGTGTGGGTGTGGGTGTGAGGGTGTGGGGGGGGGTGTAGGTCTGGTATTTATTCACACCCACACCNTTGAAACAAAAAAATAATTTTCTAATGATAAAATCCAAAAGCTCAATTTTTTGTATGCGACCACCTAAATTCATTCTTAGATTCATAAGATAGCGGGTCAGTAGGTTCATACCCTGAGTTTACCGGTAAAAGACGAAATTATCGCCGGTATATTGCCGGTATACCGCCGGTTTTTTTGCAACTACCGGCAGTACCGGCGGTTAACTGGCGGCAGAGCGCACATTATACCGAACGGTCAACCGGCGGTATACCGCCAGTTTTTTTCCGGTTCTAATCACATGGGAAACTAAGCACGAATCCCAGCGTCTATCAGAATTCTAACGAGAAAATTGTTTGAATAAGGACGTTGTCATCGTACTTTGGCAGAACGCTGTGGTGCATGCTTAAAATAGAACTGAATTTTAATAACTTATGAGTCTTTTTTCTTAATTAATCTTTTTCTTTCAAATAAGATCAAAGAATAATTAAATGCCAGGATAGACACACGAGTTGTGTTATTTATAGAACAAGTCAGTTATTTTTCTCTTTCTCATCCATCAGTTGATTTTCTTTTTTGTTTTTATTCCAGTTGACCTGTTAGAATTCGCCTACGTAGCCGAATAATGGCGCAATTACATGATAATACAACCTATTACATGAGTTTTAATGCATTATAACGAGTGAAGTATGTTACATCGTTATACTATTGTACCCATTATTTCCAGAGGCTATATGAACGACTATAGCCAATTTTTCTAATTTGAACAGCTTCTTCAGACAAAGGCAAAGTCTACTTTTTACTAAACTGTTTTAAAGAAGATATATATTTCTTTATATTTCTAAATCTAAAAATATTTGTTGAATCGAATGATACAAAAGTCATTCACTTATCTTGATAATTATAAGGGTAACTAGTGCTACTTTGCGACTAATTTAATTTAGAGAACTTAGGAGCAATAATCCTAATAAGAGAAAGCAATGTACTTTTGAACATTAAAAATTTCAGTTAGTTTAAATTGTAAAAAAAATACTCAATTTTAAGATAAAAAATCCTTAAGAGATAAGAAACGTTTTTTGTTTCAGAAGTTTATCGAAATTTTAAAGTTTGGATAGCGGAGTCGATTGCTTTAGTGATATCTTAATTTTAGCATGTTCTTCACTAGTTGCTCTTGTTAGAAATAGTGATCAGAATTAAGACAATTAAAATTAGTCGCAAACTAGTGCTAATTACTCTTTTAATTTTCAATATAGTTGAATGGCTTTTGTATCATTCGATTCAATAAACATTTCTGCACTCAGAAATATAAAAACCTGTATATTTACATACAAATTGCTGAGTAACACAGAAAACGCTTCAGCTATCTGAGCAAGTTATTCGAATTAGCAGCAATGGCTGTGTAAATTATAATTCAGCAAAACTCTCTTCTCTTTTTTTTGTTCCTCTTAGACGAGTATGTCTTTTGATTTAATTCATAATTCATCATTCATGAAACTTTTTTCTTTTCCTTTTTTTTCATAAATTTACAGAGCTATGCCGTTTAATTTCACTAATAAATTATCATTCAGCGAAGCTTTTCCTTTTGCTTTTACTCATCAGCTTGCAGGAGTACACGGTTAAATCTTATTCAGGTGTAACAATTTATGAAACTTCTTGTGTGTTTTAATGTTAATCTATAGGGGTATGTTTTTGAACCTGATCTATGTTCAAATTCAAACAAGGTATCTACTCTATATTAGTGAGTAACAACGAGTTATTGGGCAGCCACTAGGAGAAGAATCCGCCAGTGACTTTTGTTCATTATAAAATCTACGAAATCACTGTGGAACTACACTATATTATATATAATTTCGATCTTTAGCAGTTTTTATTTATCTTAGATCGGTGTAGAGTTAAAACTCAGTTACAACTAAGTTTTTACACAAGGGTAAATTCATTGTGAATCATTTTGAAAACTGTAATGAGAAAAATAGTTAAATCGAAAATTGGACATAGTAGAGATTTGTAAGTCTTTGTATTGATAGTTTTGTATTGAACAGTTGCAGATGCTAGTGCATAATGGTATACAGAATAGAAACAATCGATGAATCTTAAAAGATTCATTGGATAGATCTTAGGCACCGAGAAATGACCGGTTCACTAGATTTTTGACTCATTTGTAGACAGCTCCCGAAAAATCAAATCATGCCATTTTGATCGATAATTTTGCCTACAGATATTCGAGAATATACTAAGAGTCAATATACGTATCTATAGGCAAAATTTTCTATTGATATCCTTTTATTTCGTTTTTCAGGAAGTACCTAAAAGTGGATAGAATATTCAGTGAGCCAGTCATAACTATGCGCTACAAGTCCCTAGACAAGCAGCACAGCTTTAGGATTTTGCTAGTCTCATTTAGACCACCTTGTGGAATCAGCATGAGTGCACGCAGTAGATATCAGTTGCGGTAGTTTTCTCTTGGGCACAATCAACAACGGATCAAAACATGCATTCACAAAGATAGATATGAGTAAGAATTTATTAAAAAAAGGAAGCAGACAGTTTCTAGTCTGGTATTCGAATAAATACTCCTAATTAAAACCGACTGCTCATATGTTTGCGTTTTCATTCTAATATTTCTGAAAACCATCGAGCAAATCAACTCAAATTTACTGATCAATTATACATATATCTTTTCAATCTTTACGTGAAACAATTTTAGAAAAAATTGAGAAATAATTCAGCTATAAATGTTAGAATGAAATTGATTGTTGATTTCTAAAGAAGTACAATATTTCTAATAATAACATTAGTACAACATTGGTACCAAATTAGAAAACATCAACGTAACTGCATAGACGAATATTCGTCTGTGTAGTTACGTGGATGTTTTCTAATTTGGTACCAGTGTTGTACTAGTGTTATTATTGGGAATATTGTACTTATTTAGAAGTCAACAATCGATTTCATTCTAACACTTATAACTGGATTATTTCTCAAGTTTTTCTAAAATTGTTTCACATAATTGGTCAGTAAATTCGAATTGATTTGATCGATGGTTTTCAGAGATATCAGAGTGAAAACACAAACATATGATGAGTCGATTTTAATTAGGAGCATGCATTTTATATTTATATTCTCAAGACATATCGTGATCAAGACTAACATTTTTTTCCTGTTCTCTCTTTATTTTATAACAAGTATATATAACACGTAAGTATTGGAAACAGCTCTTGAAATTTTCTATGGATAATATGGAAGTTCTCAACAACGATGCACGTAAACTTATGGTAATAGCTGGTATAATTATGTATATACTTGGTTCAATTGGCAATATTTTAAATATTTGTGCATTTGCAATCTAGTCTCGTTCACGAACAAGAGTAGCTGCATACCGTGCTCTCAATAAAACAAATAATAGTGCATTATATTTACTTATATCATCTATTTCCAATTTAATTGTAATTCTTTATCCATTATTAACTCGAATTATATTTGATGGTCATAATTATTTAGTATCACCAAATCAAGTTTTTATATTATGTAAATTACGATATTTTGTTTTACACATATTCGATTCAATATCGTTAACATATGTTTGCATGGCTACATTTGATCAATATTTAATAACATCACGAGATGTTCATATACGTCGTATGAGTACGACAAGGCAGAAAACAAAACAAATTATTTTAGGTATTTTTATTGTGTTTAGTTTACATAATATACCCATTGCTGTTTATTATCAAGTTTCAAATACTGGTCAGTGTGAGATAACTACAAGTATATATTCATATTATTATTTATATGTTTGTCAAATATTACTTCATGGTGTTATACCTATTATATTTCTTTTTATATTTGGCTCATTAACATTAAAACATATGAAAAATCTTCGAAGTCAAACACGTGCTTATGGTCATTCAAATTATGACAAACAATTAGCTCATATGCTTCTCTTAATGTCATTTGCAATCATAATATCATCCATTCCATATTGTATTACACAAGTTTATTATGCAATGTTTTCTGGTAGCAATGCGCAGCAATCATCTTTAATGTTTCTTTTACAAGTTATTTCTTTAATTTTGTTTTACACAAATCCAGTATCAAGTTTTTATGTATATTTTATTTCAACAAAAAAATTTCGTCATCAAATACAAAAATTAATTCGATGTAATAAATGTAATCATTTTATTGTTCATAACCAAATACATACAATAACAGCTACAAATCGTTTTCATTAATGAATTTTTATTTAAAAGAAAAGAATATGCACTCATTTTCATTCTTTTATTTTCTTACGGAAATAAATTTTATTGACAATATAAATATCGTTATTATGACTAGATAAATCTAAAAATAAACGAAGATAAAAAATTAGCATGATCTTTTTCTTTGTGTTGGTTAACTATACATGCACCATTATCAACTAATTAACAGAAAAAAAAACATATTCACATGACTTGTTTTCTTTTCATCTTATTCATATGCATGATGCATAGAAGATAATAATCCAAATAGGTTTTAATCGACAAAATATCATACTATTTAGTTTAGACATTATCAGTGTACTCGCATGTGTGAAGCATTTATGAAAGAGCGCAGTTTCCGAACACATTTGAATGGTTGGCGATAAATTAAATCATTAGTATTTGTATATCAACATGTGACGAACGTTTTTTTGATCCTTTCATTAGTAGATTTTCAGCTTGATCTCTGACTGCGTGTGTGAATATGAGTATTATTTATTAAATAAAGAAGTTGTCTTTATGTATACTGAGATAAAGATAAATAAGAAAAATAAATTACAATCCAATGTATTTACTTTTTTCTAATAAATGCACTTACAATAAAATATCTGGAGAAGTTTCAACATTCTTAAAATATCATACTTTCTTAAAAAATCTAATTATTAAGTAATTGAATTATAAAGGTTTCAACTAATCCAAAAACAGCTGTATATAGTGATGAAAACTTTCAAAATAGAAGACAACCAAAAACTATAACACGAACAAAGAAAAAATAGAAGTATTTTAGGATTATTATTTTGTTGCTGACAATAAAACAAATGGTAGTTCCAGAGTAGGAGTGTCAGTTTCGGATTCTCATTTCTGGGAATTTGGAACCCACTACGGTTTCTCGTATCTGTGAACCTAAAATTAGGGGTTGCACTATACTTTATAACTACTTTAATAAAATAGTTGAAGTTAAAGTAGTATGCTTTAAACTTCAACATTAAACAAATCAAAGTTGAAGTAGTTTTTCACTAACGAAGAGCTTTTAAAAAAACGTTTCTTTATAAAGTTTGATTAAAGGCAATTGGGATCGAGGAATCCGAATATGTGATCGGTTTTTCGAAATGTTGAGTTTGATTTTGTGAAAGACGACCCGAAAGTTGTGTTCAAATATATAGGGTAGACATCTGCACTTTCCCTGCCCCTACAGACCGTGACAGACAGGCTCCAGAGGTCAACACAAAGTGTGATAGTTCGCTTCCAAGGAATGCCGGAGATCATGTATAACTAACATCTAATTGGAACATATATCGAATATTTTCTTGTTTGAAGCGTTATACTGTAAAGTAAGCAATGATGAAGAAATATGTTCCAATATAAATAACAAATGTCAGTTTTTTAGGGATTGGCAACACCAGTTACATCGTGTTTCACATTTCAGTTCTGCAGGAATTGTCATAACAGCTTTTTTAACAAAAAAAAATAATTATTTTATTAAAAAAAGTTTTCAATAAAAAAAACACTGTCAAAACTCACACAACTTCAAAACTTCACGAAAACTTGTGAAAACAATCTTAACAAATATTCGGATGTCTGTTGATGTTTGACATCCCTCCTCTCTGTCTGAACTTGCTCGTTTTGATTGACCTCTCTCCCCTCTTTTCTCAGATGTTTTTTTTTTGATAATCTCAATTAACTTCTCGGCTCACTGAAAGATACCAAGAGAAAGAAAGCTTATGGAAATGCATAGTAGGAGTGTGGGTGTCTGGGACGGGTGCTGAAGAAGTTAAGGATTACACATCTTTTATCTAGAGTAACAAAGAAGAGTGCATGAGAAGCATTGTTTAGAAAAACTATATTGCCAACGTTCGACTGTCACATTCTGAAGATTTGGTCACTGAAACGAATACTAATTGCATAAGCTTGTTTCAGCTATCGTTCAAACACTGAAAGACAGAATTGTTATTAGATAAATGAGTGATATTATAGTCATTTTATAGCACAAAACGTTTTCGAGCGTTCAAATACATCTTTCAGAGAATACTAACAGAAGATTTCATCATGAATAAAAGAAATTTATAAGATTTTCTGCTGCTCAAAGTTAGCTTTTATTCGGTTCTCAAATGTATCAATTGTCAGTTGTAACAGCAGTTAAATCGTTGCTCTAACACTACTGTTCCATCGAAAATTATTTTATCCAATGTCAGTAACATTGTTGGATCTTTGAAAAAAGTGAACAATATCTTACTAACTAATGCTTGTTTAAAATACAAATGTAGTTGACCGCTGATGTCTTCGGAATTAAATTTTTCCACAATGACGATGGTGCACCTTTCAGTTTCATTGGTCGTCCAAACGAAAAAGGATAGAATTCTGATTGAAGATTGCATTACAATTGTTTAGCTTAGTGTTAATATCGTTTACTGCAACATTAAACGGAAATTAGAAGTTATTCGCAACGCATTAGCGCTAGCAGCGTTCGACAGCATCGAACTTTCTTATTACTTATTGGTGTCAATCAAGAGCAGTGAGCAACACGCATGTAACAGATAGTTCATAATGAGTCGGATGTCAATGTCAACGCATTTTTTTTCTCTCGCTTTTAGCTCATAAAAACATTCATTCGTACACTAAACGATAGAAAATTTCAAGCTCTACGAAAGTATGAACCTTACTGTTCACATAAGTTTTTCTGTAAAGATCTCTCAATTTCTGTCAGCCATTGCTTATCAAATGTGATATTAAAAATAATGTACTTACTGTCAATTGATAGGAGTGTGAGTGGATAGGTGCGGATGTCGTTTTTGTGTAGATGACCACTTGAACCACTCACCCACACCGTGAGTGTGGCTTTATAGATAAGCCACGCCGTCTCATTTTCACAGTCATTCGTTCGTTCACTGTTTGGTATATCTTTTTTCTAGTTAATCAAAACATGAACCATCATCTCAAATTCTTGAATAATGCTTTTATTTATTTATTTTTCTAGTTAATAATAGAAAAGTTAGAATGAAATCGGATTTGTGATTGGCATGCGAGTTGGAGGGTGTGGGTGTGGGTGGGAACGCGATGTGAAGTGAGGGTGAGTGTCTATCTGAGAGAATAGATGATTGTAAGGTTCATCTTCGCCCACACGTACATCTACACTCAAGTTGAGTTGCTTTACTTTATCTGGTAAAGTAAAGATAAAGTGACACTTCTACCACGTACCCACACTCTTTGAGTGCTTCATGATAGGTCCATGCAATGCCGATACGAGTTTGCTTCTCGAAACGTTGTACACTTGTTGTCGATCCCAATGACTTCACCTCATTCAACTCGCTTGAATATGTCGATGTATTTAAATAAGCGGTACGAGCTGATGGTGTGTCATCGACAGTATTGGGCGGACGGAACTGTAATGCATAATCTAGGAAGAATGGTTTTACTTTTCCCCAATGAACACTAATATAGCCTTGATTGGATTGGGTTGAATCAACCTAATGGTAACTGGGCAGCAATTATGGTATATAGTAGTCATTGACGTTGCTTGCATTTGATGCTCGATTTTCAAGAATGAATGAAGCAGTCAATCGTCCAACGGTAAGACCCATGCTGAGTTCAGTCTGTGCTTCACCGCCATTCCTCATTTGACTCAAATGAAATCGATGGGTAGCATCAAAGATCGACGGCTGTGTCGGATATAAATATGACCAAGTCTGGTAGGCTGAGTATAGTATGACTGCACTCGTACCGAGTCTCTTTGAAAGAGAACCCGTTCCAGACTTCCCACTGCGTTCAGCAAACTGCTCATAATTTCGAGTGAATTAATTCATCGAATTCAGCATGGTATCATGAATGATGGCAAAAGCACGTGCTATTGTCGCGGGACCGACTTGATCTGGTGTGAGAACAATGAATGTGTCATAATCATTTCCGAAAGCTTGCAATGTGACTAAGTTCCAGACGACAATGGGATACACCGGTGTCGATTTCAGTTGAGTCAGGAGCATATTAATGTGACTGGGAGGAATAATGGTACGATTCGTGGTACCATTTGCTCTAGTAATAATTGCCAATCTAAGTACGAAGAACGATAGCTTCATAATACAAATTATTGTCGACTGCAATAAAACAGTTCGTTGATCATTATACATTCCATTTCGAATTTAGAAACATTGCTGAAGGAGCTTTTCCTTCTGGAAGTAATCACTTCCTAAAACAATATCCAACTCATACTGTATCAATGGGAGAAAGGAAGTGATTGTGTTACATGTACAGAAGCTCAAATCACTTCTTTGATATGAAATGTTGTTTTAGTTTTAATTAGCATAGAGGTTGATCATAGTGATGCAGTTTCTTTACCTTTTATACGATACAAAATCGCTTCACAATGTTTTTATAAGCATAATATTGATTGAGTATTAATGACTGATCTACAAGTACTGATGATATGAATTTATTGTTTTTCTCTTCTCGAAACACTTGAAACGTAGTGAATCCAGCTTTTCTTCAAATTTTGTGATGAATTTGTAAAATGATCGTTCATTGCCTCTATTGTCGCAAAAAAGCTGCAACTGTAGCACAGTTACAATGGTAAGAAATGAAAATAAAGGTGAAGATATAACATTCATCCTTACGTACAACTATGTGAATAGCTTAGAAATTTATTTTGAAAAAAGACTTTTCTATTAAGTTGTGCATTCTGAATAAGAATTTCTACTCATAAATTATGAACAGATGTAAGCTCAAAGAGTCAATTTTAATTCATTGTTCAAGAGGTTCAATTAGCAAAAGAATGTTTCTCGCAGCCGCCAACTGATCAGTATAACATAACACTAAATGCACGTGACCAGCAATTGGAGAATGAACAATAATTTCCATTTTCATCGCTTCAAGTATGATAACAGGTGCGTTCATTTCCACCATCTTCTCTTGTACCACCAGTATTTTTCATATACTACCACAAATATCGGCAGTCATGCTTACTTGTCGATAGATGACATGTTGAATCTCTGCAATGCCATGATCGTTCGTTGAAGAGTCGTTTCTGTCGTCATGATTGTCAAGTTGCCAGTGTGACACTTCTTCGGCAAAGGCAGCTGTTTGCCATGCAGTAAAGTTGACAATGCTTTTCAATTCTCGTTTAAGAAAAGCGTTGTACTCACCTAAATTAAATACATTGCCGTGAACGATACACACGCTCAAACGTCCTTCACGAAATGCATCACGCTGGATGGAAAGTTCCTTCTTGTCGACAGGATAGAAGCGAACTTGATCGAAAAAACGAAGGAGCCATGGATAATCATCTTCAAATGCTGTATTATGGATAAATATGTTCCAGATAGGCAATGTACGGCCAATCAATTGATAGCCACCTGTCGAATCCATACCTTAGATACACATGTAAACTCCAGTGATGCCTAGGGTACCTTCAGCAGTAAATGTGCGAGCTGGATTATATTTAGAAGTAAGCAGTCGATGACATGAATCGATCAGCACTTCACAGGGTTCTCCAAGGTAAACGTCTCCGAGACCGAGTATTAGATACGACGCGTCGAACACAATCCGTTGCACATCATCTCTTGAACGGAGTCCATTAATACGCTGGATGAAGTCAACATTATTAGACAGCCAGGGTGCCGATTCTCTCACTGTCTCTCGACAATGCTTCACAGCATCGATTGTAGCTGAGTCTTCAAAAGCAAGTGGCAAATAAATAATGCGAATCTTGACGCATATATCATTCTCTTCAGTGGCAAGGAATGTGACGGGAAGTTGTTGTTGATGAATCACTCGGCTGTCATACTAGATTTGAAGTGAACGAACACCAGGTGCTAATTCGAGTATACCATTCACTGGATGATGATCACGTAATTGTTCCATCAGTAGATGTATACGAAGTCGATAATGTAGACTAAGCTGTATAAAATCATATTCAATGAGAATGTTATGATCACATGCTTGTCGATAGACGACTGCTATTCGTGTAGTCGTTGCTGGTGATTGAGCAAGTATACATTCGAATTTTATGGACGTGGACGACGATAATAGCGATAATGGGATAGAAGTAATGGACGATGTCAATATTGCCAATGATTTGTCATGATCATGTTACAGTATCAATGCTTAGCCAAGAACAATCAGGAAAAAACGAATTCGATCATTGGACTTTATTTGACCAATTTTCCGAAGTTCTGCTTTAGCAATCATCACTGGACAAACAAAGCCGCCTAGACTCGGTCCGTCTTGAGTAAGGATAATGGGCATATCGCCAGTGAAGTTAATACTACCCACAGCAGATTCGCAGTCATGAGAATGTTAGAAGGGTGTAGACCTGCTTCATCACCATTCGATCGCGACCAAGTCGGTTTGGGTTCTAACAAACGCACGCCGAGACGATTTGAATTATAATGTATTTGTCAAGTAGCAGCAAAAAACTGATCAATATAGTCAGACATAAAAAAAACGTGTGCACCATGTGGTCTATATAACACACCCACCCGTCATTCCTCGTCTTCTGCTGAATAATAAGGAATGAGAGCATCTGATACGGCAGACGGTATTGAATCACTAATGCATTTATCAATAAAAAGTATGTCATCGGATTTTAGTGTCCGTCCTGCATAGCTACTGAATTTTTTAAGAACAAAGGTCGAGCGGCTGCCGAAGTAGGTGGGTACATCGAAGCCATCTCGAACAGCGATATACGTATGGCAGCCGGATGTGGCGCGCTCCAGTTTTAATATTTGATCAGCTTGCACAGATATTGGTTTTCACAAGTCGACGGATATGCCGTCTAGCATTGCGCTCATTGTTGCGCCGGTAATAGCAACGATGGTCCTACAAGTGTACATTCAAGTCCAGCGACATTCTCGGCATTGCTGACTGAACGATTGGTCAAACGAAAAGCATAGTCATCCATAGGACCCGATGGTGGCACCCCCACCTACCAATGACGAACACGACTGGGATAGTCTTGAATAGTTGACTAAGTTCCTGATACTAATACTTCTACAGCATTTGGCTGATACTGGAAGAACATAGTTAGAGTTTTGAGAGAAATGGCCGCATGCATAGATGATGATGAGGCAATCAGTTGACGAAGAAAGTCCAGACTCGTACTAATACGATAAGGCGAACAAATGCCAGAGCATGACACAGACTTTCGATAGCTTCGCTACGATCAGCACCATGCACACTCAACTTGGTCAGCAATGAGTCGTAGAAAAGCGGTACCCGTATACCGTTGGAGATTCAGGTATCGACGTGAACATCGCTCAGAAATACTACCTGGCTAAGTGTGCCAGATAGTGGATAGAAGTTACGTATAGGTTCTTCAATACACAGTCGCACTTGAATGGCCGCTCCTTTGGGTGTTGATGTGCTATAGAGAGCATGTGATGGTTGCCCAGCGGCCTAGCTGACCATCCACTCGACAAGATCGATACCATATACCAGCTCGGTAGCAGGATGTTTCACCTAAAACAAGAATAGATGTTTTTGTAATTTATTACTAATACTATTTTAATTTTCTGAGCGTGAAGATGAAGAGAAGACTCTTACTTTTGTTCTCATCCTCATCCTCGCCCAATTTTTAATTAGCTGTAAGCGACAATTCACCTCAAGAAAATAGAATTCATTACGTGTACGATCGTAAATGAATTCAACGATGCCTGCTGAACGATATTTTACCAACGTGCCTAGTCTAACAGCTGCATCCCGAAGACGAGCACGTACATCATCGGATATATTAGGTGGTGGTGTTTTCTCAACGAGTTTCTGATTGCGACGTTGCAAGGAACAGTCCCGTTCATTAAGTGCTATCACATGACCATGCCCGTCACCAAATATTTGTACTTCAATGTGACGGGCATCGTGAAAACAGCGTTCCAGATAAACCCCATCATTGCAAAAGAATTTTATAGCTGCACATTTTACTTTTGGGAACAAATCGACCAGCTGGTTTTCATCCGTGCACCGCGCAATTCCGATACCACCTGATCTGGTTGTGTTTTTTAGCATAAGTGGGTAACCGACAGTTTTCGCTTTCAGTTTGGCTTCCTCAACATCAGTGAGTAATCCAGAATGAGGTAGAAGCAGTAAATCGGCAACGGCTGCTGCCTCATATGCAATATGCTTGAGATGAAATTGACGGATTTGTTTTGGGGTGGGCCCAATGAAACAAATACCAGATGCTTCGCATTGCGCAACAAAATTGGCATTTTCAGAGAGAAATCTGTAACCAGGAATAATTGCTTCAACGTTCTGTGATTTTGCTGTAGCGATAATCAAATCACCACGAAGATAGGTTTCAGCAGGTGTCTTGCCTTCAAGTGCAACGGCAGAATCCGCTGCAGTCACATGTGCCAAATAACGATCAACTTCGGAGTATATGACGAGGGTGCGAATACCCATGTTACGGAGAGTGCGAGCGATACGTACTGCAATCTCACATCGATTAGCAATCAAAACCGACTTGAACATGAATTCATTTGAAAATAAAGAAAGGTTGTCAACTTGTTCCATATTACTGATAATAGTGTTGGACTATATTTTATATATACAATCAGTAATTCGAAGAGTAAAAATGAATATGATTCCTCTTCGAAATAATCTTTTGTCTCTGAAGGGAATGGTAAGGTAAGGCGAAACCTCATTCTCATGTAAGCAGGATGCTTTAAGATTCTCAATATCATTGAGTTGAACGGCTCTAAACCTAATAATAATCGACATGACGCATTTGCCTTGAAAACAACAGATCTCTGTAAGTCAGTGTTCTTGAAGCATTCAGTATATATTCTCCTATCTTGAAAGATCAAAGATAATATTCCTGATTCTTTTTTGTCTGTTTATAATCGTCGTAATACAAAAATCTGAAATACATGAAACTATCAAGTGACAATGTCGACATTGAATAGTAAGATATATCAACTGTAACAATAAAAATGTGTATCACTCCAACTGTAATTTTTATTTTCGCTGTGATCAACGTGATGATAGAGAGAGTGACCAATAGATCACAGAAAGAAGACAAGAAATAACATATATTACAGAGAACAGTGATGATCGATCATCGTCATATTGGTCATTATCCACATACATCGAATGACTCGGCATTTATGATTTCACGCAGTCCCAATGCAAGCTATCTCGTTAGAAAAAAAAGTAGCGCTCAGAGCTAAAATAAAAACTGTCTCCGAAGGTGTTTTAAAAATAGATATTCTGGTAAAAAACACCAAGAATCTCATGTTCTTTCAATCTCTCTCCTTTGAACGCTGTGTTCTCTATCGTATCAGTTCTTTTCGTTGTCATATTCCGTCAAGTGTGCATATCTATACCTATATATGCATGGACATGAAGCGAAATGGTGCACACGAAAGAATGACAAAGATAAAAAAATGATGTACTATCTAAAGAGAGACAGAGAGATCCTTTGTGAGAATTCATCAAGGACATAAGGGAAAGGTCAAACACGTCTGGATATTCAGACACTTTTTACATATCTTTTTCGTAAAAGTTCCTAGATAAGTTGATTTTGAGAGCGTTTTAAAAAAGAAAGTATCTTATCTGAATCTTAGAGTGTATTACTCATGAATGAATCAACTTTACCAGAGGTATATATCTTTTCTGACTTCTAAGCCTTGTATTCTCAATAAAGATGTTGCCAACGGAAAGAAAAACATAAAACGAGAAAGCATAAGGAAGGTTGAACATAATGCGTCGAGATTTATGACAGATGTCTTTATTATCGAGATTAGTATAGAGAGAGAAGGCGATGAAGATTATATGATGTAATAGTTGTTTTTTATATTTCGTTTAGTATATCTTTCAGATAAGTTTCCTATGTTTTATTGCTGTTTAAGAAAACATGTGTCTACTTTACTTTTGTCACTTTTGTCAAAATCATCAATCGGTTACTTCATTTGTAATTCCTGCTCATACCATTTTTAAAAGTGAAAATGATATAGAAGAATTTGCAATTAATTCGTTCGAAAAAAACTATACTCGGTTTTTAGTTGATTTACGGTAAGGTTACTCACTACCACACAGTATCATCAAATCAATCACATATCATTTTATATCAATGGAAGGTGCATTATTTAAAATTATTCAACATCAACTAACACAATCATCAACAGATCTACTAATTCTATTAAAAAATATAGAAAATTTGAAATCATCAATAAAAACTTCAATATCTGATATCGCCAAAAACGATTACCAATTTTCGAAACGTCGTGAAGAATGTTTTGAAGACGTAGCCCCATTGAAAATAAAACTGAATGATCAAGATGATTGTGACTATTACGTTCCGATTGAGCGAAGCATTAAAAGTTTATTGAATAAACCAGATGTTATCAGTTATTTCATGTAAATTTTAAGCGATCATATATCACAGAAAATGAACGATACTAGCTTAATATTAATATATGGTGATAGTAGTATTGCACAAGATAATCCTTCATTGAAACTTAATCTTAATTTAATTCTGATTCAACACTTCTAAATTAAAAGTCTACTTCCTTCCATATTGGCTGAAAAATTTTCAACACGCGCTTACTCATGCAAAACAATCTAAGAACAATGGAAAGCGCATTAACTCTTCCCCACAATAGACTAAAACGTAACACAAATCAATAAAAAAGTATTCACGTGTCTACAATCTTTCCCAAAATGAAACCTATCGCAATACAATCATTATCATGCGCACGACATCCAAAATGAGCTTTATTTTCATTTACAAACAAAAACACAAAAAGAAACAGATTCCGCATTCAACAGATCGTTCCAGTGCTTCATCAANTAACTAACTTTTCAAGGCGAATCTGATGCACTACTTTTTTCCCCAAAATATTGCAACCTTGAGATAAATGAACGTAACACTGTTGCGAAAACCTGACTTTGATACTATTTTCATTTGACACAATGGAACAATAATTTGAATATTACAAGAGACAGATAGCGATCGTTTTAAATTCAAACCTAAGTTTTACTTTCGTTTTACTTTTCTAGCAAAAAATCTCTAAGTTTTGTTTATTTTCTGGTGTTTTAAGATCAGGATTAACTTTCGACATAGTAACTCGTACATATTGAGGGAACTTTTTGAACTGTCCAATCACTTTCGAGTTCAAACTCTGTGCATAATGTAGACCTCATTAAGATGTGAAAAGCCCAAAAAGATAAATACATTTAGGTTTTCCGTCCAGACTTATAGACATTTTCCTACAATTTTAGCGTATGACATGGTATATACCAACAAATCGCATTTGTGCCCACAAACAGATCTATTCGTGAGTACAATGTTCTAAAAAAATAGTCATAAATATCAATGTATGTTTTTTTTTCACAAAATAGCAATGTCAATCAACAAGTCATAGATACAATTAAAACTTTTGATTATGAAGAAGTTGCTGTTAAAATAATAGCATTACAATTATCAAATGAATCAGGAAAACACTTTTATACAGAAGCTCAACGACCACTTAATGCTGATTTAAATCAACTGATGGAAACAATTGAGATGCAAGTGACTATGTTTGAAAATAAAATCGTAATCGAAATAAAAATTTACTTAGTAAGGGTAAAAATTCTTATAGATAATCATACTCTCCATGAAACAGATAAACAAAAAAAGCGATTCAAATTAGTTATTATACAAAAGAGATTTTCGATTAGATCGACGCATTAAAAGACTCTCAAAATGATGTTGTATTGACAAATATAGTTTAGGGTATGGATATTGCTACGAAAGAAGAATACTAATTATAGCTTGTCACATGATCCTTTTATATATCTTCTCTTAGTAGCACTTTGATTGTTGTTGAATACGAAATTGTCTTTTATTTTTCGTTTAATAATTTTGGTCTCTTACTCAACTTGGTATAATTAGTTGTTGAACGACTTGTATAGGAATTAGAATAGAATGATATTAAGAATCAAACTTATGATTATGCTTGTATTGATTAGAGACTGACAGCTAATATTATTGATCTTATGAATTTTTTTGTTATTTTGTACTATGGAATTTCTATCTCTTAGTTCATTTTTCTCAGCATCTTTCGTCATTAAAAGGAATTTTTTTTAATTCTATTCACGTGAAAGATTTTATTTACTAAAGTTTATGAGAAATCATTAAAGCATCGCTTGAAATAACAACATTAAAATTTGAATTAAATAGAACGAATGAATTTTAATGACAATTTTGCTTGATTTTTTTTTTGTTCAAGCATGTTTATTTCGATTATTACTCATTGGTGATGCAAATAAGTCAAATAAACTAGAAATTCATAAAAAAAGCCAGATATTTATCACAGTTCAATCGGACATGTTTCGGATAAAAGTCATCCATACTTAGAAGCATAAAAAAAATCTATTCAGTATTGCACTCAGAAATGAACAGTTATTGAGGGTGTGGATGATAGGCTTTTCATGTTTTCCACACTCACACTCTTCACTTTTGCATCTGATGGTATCAAAATTAACGTTTCATAGAATAAAAATGACTTTTAAATATATTATTTTCGATTATGGCCTGAAAAAATAAGAAAAACATTTATTTGCATTTTTGTTCGTCTAGATGATATTGAAAAGATAGTGGACAAATAGAAGTATGAATTTTCTATATTTTGATGTTAGATATTTTACTTTTAAAACTTGTCTGAATCAGCATACACTTGCAAAAATCGTTAGAGATCCAAATAAAATAGATAGTCGTACGCAGATGACTAAGTAGGTATTGTTAGTCTTTTTAATTTTTCACCAAAAAGGAAACTATTTTTGCAAAATGAAATAAATTTTTTGTTTAAATGAGATTACAAACAGATTTTTGAAGAACATTCTCGACCATTACAAAATATATTACTATGGATATAAAAGTTGTCTAATTACTGCTTCAAAGATTAAGTGTTAAAGAGCAAGACTTTTGATTAAACAAAGAACATTAGTGAATATGTATGCCAACTAGCTGGTGCAATATTGTTATTTTCTTACAATTAGAAGCAAGATAACAATGAGTGTCCATAATTTTTACAATTGCACATAATTTACTCTTTATTATTTTGATATTTAAGTGTAAAATGTCTTTTGTGAAACACAATATAACACGAAGACTGTGACACAAGTTACTAATATACGATCAAAGACTATAGATCAGTAATGTTTTGTTATAATATATAAACTACTTTCTTATTACATTTTCAGAGAATTTGGTAAAACAAAGATGAAGAGATGTACCACAGCACAGATAAAATAAAAGCATCTCTCTTTGATTAGCAATAACAGCTACATTGTGTTTCACATTTTAATTCCACATGGATTGCGCTCATAGATTTTATAAATAAAAATTTAAAGCAAATATGGGTGTCAGTATTTGTAAAAAATGACAAATTCCAGTTAAAAACAAAACATATGACCTAGAACAGCTATCTGTGTGTTATTTGTTTCGAACTCTATATAATTTTGCAGTATTCTTGATATCCATAGTTTGTACAGATTACTCAAAATATTCTCTATAATATAATTTCTAGATAGTTGTATTTTAATAAAGCTAAGACGAGATTGTTGACCTTGTAATATACGATATTTTATTCTTGGCATACAATAGTAAAAACATAAGTATATAGTATCTTCTTACCAATGTATTATAACACAATATTAATTCACTAAAGGTCAATATCGATTTATAAAGTGATTTAACATTATCAATTTCGTAATTTTTGCGAAATGAAAATTCAAGTATATATGGTTTCATTTAAATCTAAACTTTTCTTTTCGTAAAAAACAATGAGAACATGACACAAAAATAATATAGCAAAGTTACAGAAGACATGTGATACACTACAATACATATAAAGTAATATTTAAAAAAATCTAGTACATATATTTATTTTTTGAAATAATCAGTCTTGGTTTATATTATTGTTAGTTTCTTTTATGGTGATCGACCAATTTTAAAAACAAAGACATTATAAAGAATGAATGAGAAGAATGTTAAAACTAAGGCAATTATTTCCAATCCAGTTGACCAATCAATTCGTATTGTGTATCTATCTGCAGCTGTTTGTCGAAGTAAACTTAAATCGTTAGCTAAAATAAAAGACAAAATATTGAGAAATTGGAAAAAAAAAATCAATAAAGTTTTGTTTTTCGTAAATATTTATAATTTGTTGATTGAACTTTGAAAATAAATCTCATCGAAACGATAATCTTTTTTATTCTGTATATCATTGATATTTTACAACTATAAATTTGATGAGTATTCTTTCATTGTTCTTCAAGATGTACTTACAAAGATTTTGTTCTCGAAGAGCATGCATCATATCTCGTGATAAATAACTTCCGACAAGAATCAATGCAATAAGTATAAATATGAATGCCAATAAAAGTAAAATTAATGGAAAGAAACTAAGCAATAAGCCAAGTGAATTCGTTTCTGATGTATTTATCGAATGAATAAATAGAATAATAATGGATAAACCAAGAAAAACCGAAGCTATTATTGTACATGATGCAATACCTTTTGTCGATGGTAAAAAATCACATGGACAACTTTCATTTGCAGTTCTTCGTAGACATTCATTCAAAATAAAACAGTCATTATTTCTAGGATATTTATTAGGAACACATGTTTCTGTTTGATACGTTTTCGAAGGCGTACATCGTGTGAACAATCCAATAGTTATCTCATTAAGGTCATCTACGGTAGTATTCTTTGCAGTTGCTTTTTTCCAATGATGATGACCCATAGCAGTAACATGAAAAACAAATGCAAAGACAACAAGAGTAAAAACAGTGAAACAAAATATTTTGGCTTTGTGCATCTTTGTATTGTAATGAATAATAACTAGTTAATCTATATGAAATGTGGAAAAGAAATTAAACTATATTAGTTACTTGTTTTTCTTTTATTTTGATTGAACTCCAATGTGTTCAATTTCTCTTGGGACGGAAAGAATTGATTTTTCTAATACGTCAATCGTTTTGACAACTGTGTCAATGAAAGAAAATGAAGTCAAACTATCCAACAAGAATTATATAAATTGGTTTCAGCGTTTTTATTCTTACTCGTATTCTATCGTTCTTCAATTTCATCGAAATAAAAGAAGAAAAAAAAAGAAAAATTTGGATCTAAAATACAAGAACGAACTGTATTCTCTCGTCCAGGCAGTTGCTTACATCAAACTGAATTCGTGAGTTATGTAAAAAAGAAATGTTGGTATAGTGTATCAAATATAAGAACTTTTTTTTGTTCTTGTCTTTCTTGTTTGACTACACATTTTTACATTCGTTTTTTTGTCGAATTTTTTTTGCATATACATATAATACACTGTGATCGATATATATTATAATGAAACCGATATAATTTGATGTATAAAAAAAAAAAAGAAACATGAACCATAAGTTTAAATATTCGATCAATATTATATTCTTGATTATGCATTAATACAATCGTTTTCTGCATGGTTTTGACATTGAAAAACCAGTAGAAGGGTAACTGTAACATTGAATTCTCAAGGCATGTTTTATTATTTGCCGAACTTCTTTTCATAAATTGTTTGCCTGTAGTTGACCGTCAAGTAAGGTGCACCAAGGGCAAAAAAGGAGCACTTTTTATTTTTCAAGTTTTTTTACATCATCTGATAGAGCTCGCGATGCTGATTCCGAATATGTGCTTTTTAGTTTTTTTGGAACAAATTTT